ATGTTCCTCCCCAACCTCCTCGCTGTCCGAATCTGCTGCCAGCTCCGCTGGTGAGCCACAACAGTACTAAGAACTAAGTATTTGTTCCGACCGAGGCTTCCCAAGAGCACCAAGCAAACTCCTTGTCCTGACAAAAACCCCTCTTCTTAATTGAGTGTGAATTCTGCTCATTCACATCCAGCAACATCTTTCAAGGGAGGATTTACAGTCATCGACCTTATCTGGCTTGGAGAGCTGCCAGGCCGATATCGGCAAAACTTGGCAAGGAGTCTCAGAGAGTCACGAACCAATGAAGCGAACTAATTGTCTCCTGCAAACGCCACTCCCCTTTCGCTCCTCTTTTATTTCCTCTGGGAGGGGCCATTCATCATCCACCTGTGGCTTTATTCCCAAGTTGACCCTTGTTCTTTAGCTATTCCCTTCGTCTGGCAACTCTGTGCATGCACACACTGGGAACAGACTCCAGTTGTTCATCTGCCTCACTTATGTCTGACTATGAAGGCAGCTGAAAACTGGCATACGGCCCTGGCCCCCTCTCTGCCTCCGACACAGAGCCCTCATCAGAGCCTTCCCCAGACTCCAGGACTCCTGGCCCATGTTCCTCCCCAACCTCCTCGCTGTCCGAATCTGCTGCCAGCTCCGCTGGTGAGCCACAACAGTACTAAGAACTAAAACTAAGGAGAAATTTCCAGACAGTGAGAACAATTAATCAGTGGAAGAGCTTGCCTTCAGAAGTTGTGGGTGCTCCAATCACTGGAGGCTTTCAAGAAGAGACTGGACAGCCATTTCTCTGAAAAGGTGTAGACTCTCCTGCTTGAGCAATGGGTTAGATTAGATGATCTTCAAGGTCCCTTCTGACTTTGTTATTCCAACATACTGTATCTTAAAGTTACTAATGTTGAGAAACACTGAATGACAGCATGAAGAAATCTGGGAAAGAAGAAGAGAAAAGGAAGATATATTCAGAAGGAGCTAGGAGCACATTTCCCAACCATCCAATTTTATAAAAAGGCACGAGTTTTCATGAGCTACAAACGATTTCATCAAAGCCATCAGTTTGTTGGTCAGAAAAGATGCTCCTAGATTCCTTCTGATTTTTGGCTATCACAGACTAACATGGCTGCCCTTCTATAATGCCAGAAATAGTCCTGATTTTTCACACAGGTAGTCCTTGACTAACAACAGTTCATTTAGCGACCGTCCAAATTTACAACAGCGCTGAAAAAGTGACTGGACCATTTCCCCCCCCCCCCCAGTTATGACCTTTTCACTATGGTCACATGATCAAAATTTGGACGCTTGGCAACCAGTTCATCCTGATGATGGTTGAGTGTCCCAAGGTCATGTGATCACTTTTTGCAACTTTCTGACTAGCAAAATCAATGGGGAAGCCAGATTTATTGAATAACCGGGTTACTAACTTAACAGCAGTGATTCACGTAATGACCGTGGCAAGAAAGGTTATAAAATGGCACAAAAATCTCTTAAATGTCTCAGCAACAGAATTTTTGGGCTCAATTGTGGTTTTAGGTTGAGTACTGCCTGTAATGTTGTTCAGGCCCAAACACCAAAAAAATAAATAAATCACACTTTGCTTGATTTTGGCCTAAAGTGATGCATGAATCTACTCATCGTTATCTCCGAATCATGTTTTATTGCATATAGATGCGACAAAGGCTACTATGATACTTAGCAACCTATGGATTTTGCACTGCAGGTTTTGTATAAGTGTGTGTGTGTGTACATATACATACATACATACATACATATACATATATATATATACACACACACATACATACACACATACATACACATACATACATACATATATACATAATATATATGTATAATATATATATGTATTATATATATATATTTGTATGTATGTATGTATGTATGTATAATATGTATGTATGTATGTATATGTATGTGTATATATATATAAAGAAACAGATATTGTGATCTCCAGAACTTTAAAATATATTGCTCACTAAGCTTTTGTTAGCCACTGCTAACATCGTCAGAGTGTAAAAGCCATTAAAGAGATAGCTGCCTTTATACAATGTTAATCAATCTGGCCATTGCACGCATGATAGGCCCATCCACCCACCTCCCACCTGTAATTAGCTTTGTTGTTTTTACATCAGGCATGTTAATCGATGCTCCTATTCCTTCTTCCCTTATCGAACTCAGCTCAGGCTGTTCCTAAGGGTGGGTAAGGGAAGAAGGAATAGGAGCATCGATTAACATGCCTGATGTAAAAACAACAAAGCTAATTATAGGTGGGAGGTGGGTGGATGGGCCTATCACGCGCGACAATCTCAATCTTACACGGGAAAAGACCGAATACAACAAGACCAGCATATATAGATGGTAGAGCTGAGCGCCTTTGAAAATTATTTGGTAACATTTAGAATATCACTCTCTGATTATGCATTATTTCTGTAGAAATTAGTTTCACATAAAATGTTTATGGAGATTCTCAGTCATCCAGGTCATGGTTGTCCAAAGGTGCTATTTTCAGGAGGCAACTGGACTTTCTTGTTTTTTTTCTTTGAAGACGTTTCGCTTCTCATCCAAGAAGCTTCTTCAGCTCTAATGGATGGTGAGAAAGGGAAAGATTCATTCATCCAGTCAGAGCTGCAGAAGCTTCTTGGAGGAGAAGCGAAACCCCTTCAAAGAAAAATCAGTTGCCTCTTGAGAAAGCACCTTTAGGTTTTACCTAAAAGTCATTGTTTAGTAGGAAGCTTCAATAACTGAAATCAACTTTTTTTTAAAAAAAAATATTACTACTGTATGTTTTTTAAAGTGAGCCATGCATCTAATTGTAACTTTGCTTTCAAAATCAACCCTACAGCTGTGGAAACAAGAAAAAGAAATAGTCCCCGTTAAAACGATTCAGAAATACGTTGGAACTAATTCTATTTTTTCTTGTCCTTCAGATACCACAATTTTCTTTAAAATTAAAACCCTCCAAGTGTTTTCATTGCCAAGTGACAGCCTTGAGGTGGCATTTCCTATTTCCAACAAGAATTTGTTAGTTAAAAAGAAACTGTTAGTAAGATGTGGATTGCAAACCAGAATCCGAAAACGAACGATTATTTTTCCCGTTTTTCGGTACTCTTGCCATAATGTTTGCCTAATGAAGTCCTTCCTGTTTTGCCAGTGGAAGTGTTAAAGAGCAACCAAATTGTCTGTCTGCCCCCTTTTTAAACCTCGTGGTTCTCTTTTAACACAACCTTCTTTAGCTTGTTTACTAATATGCCGTTTTGACGGTTAACTCTGACATGGAAAAGAACTTCACCCCAGGGCTGGCTTTAAAACAACCAACGTTACCATCGCTTTCTAATGCCTTCCTTTGCTTCCCCCCTTGTTTTTTGTCTTGTAGGTCTTCTAACGTTTATAAATTGTGCCTATGTTAAGTGGGGAACAAGGGTGCAGGATGCATTCACCTATGCCAAAGTCATTGCTCTAATTGTCATCATCGTTACAGGAATTGTTAAACTATGCCAGGGTAAGACGAATAGCTGATCATATGGAGGTTTGTATCGATTGTTTTGCATTGAGGGACAGATGGGTGGTAGTGGTTAAAGGCACGAGGTCTGGGAGTTCTAGTACTGTCTTGGGCAGGAGGGTGACCTTGTGCCAGTATTTCTTTCTCAGCCTTGGGAAGAAGAAGAAAGGGGGAACCAACCACTTCCAACCTTATAGCAACTTATCTATGTAGTCCACCAGGAGTCAAGAGAATTACTTTTGATTGTGAGCCGCCTGAGTCCCCGCAGGGAAAAGGGCGGCATACAAATAAACACAAATTCAAATTCAAATACTAAATAAGAGAATAACTAAAATAAGGGAATTAGTTTGATGTAGCGATGAAGGAATCAGGACAGAAACCAGGAGACCGGGAATTGTAGTCTTGCCTTAGATGGAAAGCCAGGTGAGCAATGGTGGGATTCATTTTTTTTTACTACTGGTTCTATGGGTGTGGCTTGATGGCCTGGCGTGGCTTGGTGAGCTTAGCAGGGAAAGGATACTGTAAAATCTCCATTCTCACCCCACTCCAGGGGAAGATTACTGCAAAATCCCCATTCCCTCCCGATCAGCTGGGACTCGGGAGGCAGAGAATAGTTGGGGGCGTGGCCAGCCAGAGGTGGTATTTACTGGTTCTCTGAACTACTCAAATTTTTCGCTACCGGTTCTCCAGAACTGGTCAGAACCTGTTGAATACCAACTCTTCAGGTGAGTGACCTTGGGCTACTGGTCCTTCTCTCTCAGCCCTAAGAAGCTGACAATGGCAGACCATTCTGAAAATCCTTGCCAAGAAAACTGCAGGGGTTAGTCTAGGCAAACACCAGGAGTCAACACCGCACGAAGCACAAAGCAATAAAGATTAAAAAATGAGCAACACAATCATATGTTGAGCAAGCACCTATTTGGGTTACTTTTCATCAGAAGGTATAACACGCATTGGTCCCCTTAGTAGCTAGGCTGACCCAAGAGGATATGTCAAAGCAGTGGTCCCAGGGGGGGACTGCTATGGGTTCGCCCGAGTTTGGGAGAACCCGTAGCTAACATTATGGCCAGTTTGGAGAACCTCCAAATCCCACCTCTGGCTGGCCCCACCCTTCCTTCCCAGGAGTCTCCATGTGGCCCATTTTGGATGTGGGGTAAGTGCAGGGCCAACATGGAGGCTCAGGAAGGGGAAAAATGGGTCTCCCAGAAGTTCCGGAAGCAAACCCATTTCTGCCTCCGGAGTACGGCAGAGGCAGTTTTCACCCTCCCGGAAACTTGACAAAAGCCCCCCTGCCATGATGCAGAAGCCTGGGGAAGGTGAAAATGCCCCCTGCCATGGTGCAGGAGGCCAACTAGGCCACACCGACCAAGGCCATGCCTACCTAGCAACTGGACAGAGAACCCGTTGCTGACATTTTTGAAGCCTACCCCTGAATGTTTCCCAAACCTTGGTGGCCCTGCTGGGTGGGTGGGGGAGGGGAATTGGCCTGCGGGAATGTCAGGCCGACGTGCACACACATACGCAACTCAAATTTGCACAAGTTGAACTGTGTGCGCATTCGTGCCAGCGCAATGCTCGTGTGAGTTGAGTGACATGGCCCAGGTTACAAAAAGACCAGGCCCAGTAGTGGGTCGCGGCCCAGAGATTGGAGACCCCGTGTTAAGGTGTTCCCTAATGCGGACACTTTCTCTTTATGAAAAATGGATGAATTTCTGAATGAATTTCTGGGTAGGTGTGAATGAGAAATTGTGATATAAGCTGAACTGGAACTAAAAAGGTCCAACTATATTTTCAATAGGTTTAGCAGAGAGAAAAGCTCTGACTGAATTAAGCTCTGATAGCATTAATCCGTTTAGCAATGCATGGATTTATGCTATACCCAACAAATATTTTAAGAACGTTCAGTACTTAGCACTGCCAAGCTCTTCCAGAATTCATTTTCCTCTTATCCCCTTTTTAAACATTGTTGTAGTTGCATGTATCCTGTTCTTTTGGGGAAATGCTCCCTGCACTTATAATCCACAAAAGCTTACAGTATTCCATAGTAAATTGGTTACCTTTAACCCTTGACTGATGACCATAATGGAACCCAGAATAGCTGTCATGTGTAAGTCAGTGCACCTGTTAGCCTCTGCTTTGCTTGCTTACTATCGGCTGCCATAGAAACGGGGAGGGTGGGGGCATAGTATTGCTTAAGGGAATTATATGGAACTGGAGGAGTTATGTAGGAGGCAGTTTTGTTCTCATCATCTTCTGCGCATTCTGATGGCTGATGTTTGGACTTGGTCAAGGCCAACCATCTCGCATACCAACCTGATGAGGCCTTTCGAAGATGCACCCCACATGACACCTTAGGGCAGCGATGGTGAACCCTTTTTGGCTTGCGTGCCATAGGTGGGGGGAGCGCAGGGGGGGTTGTGTACAGGCGTAATGCAATGCACGATCCCCCCCAGTATGCATGCGTGCACTACATGTGCGACCCCCCCCNTATAACAAAACTCAGTGTCCTCTCTCTCTCGCCTCTCTCCCTCCCTCTCCCTCCCTCTCCCTCTCCTCCCCCAAACCGAGAATGTGTCACTGTTTTGATTTATTGTTTCCATGATTGCATTGGAATAGCTGTTGTTTTTATTCAACATTTCGCAATTCAACTATATGGGAATCATATGGAAATGTATTAATGAAGCTGGTGCTTCTCAGTAGGGATCAAAGGAAGAGAGAGACTTATTAATTGGAAACTTAAGAAAAAATTATTGAGACATTCTAGAGAGAGGGTGAAGCTTATTTATGACTGTATCAAGCCAAGAGATCTGCTTCTCATAGATGGGTACAGCAATATGCCAGAGTATTAATCATCATGGGTGGATACTCTTAGGGTGTGTAAAGGACCTTTTCTTTCAGGGTAATGAGTGATCTCAAATCTCAGCTTGGGTTACAGCTGTGATAGATGGAAACTTTGCGCAACAGCCACCAGACAAAATACCCTGTGAGTCTACACAGGAGAAGGGATTCCGTCACATTTCTGTTTACCAAGCAGTTTCATAAACTATTTGGTCTCTTCTGACAAGATACTGAGTTGAGTTGGACAGGTTGAGTTGCCCTTGGCGGAAGAGAAGCGACTTCTGCATGATGGAATGGTCATCATTAAGTCGCTTTTGAGTCAACCTAAGTTGGGCTGCCCTTTGAAAGGGCTGAAAAGCAAACTGGAAAGCATGCCGGGGTGGTGTTGGTGGTGTCAAATTATTCTCCAAAGTACCAGAGGGTGGGACAAGAAACAATAACCAAAGAGAGAAGCAACCTGGAATTAAGGAGAAACTTCCTAACAGTGAGGACAATAGCAATAGCACAATACGTCCTCATTAAATCTCATCCTAGAGCTGTAAAATATATCTAACCTCTACCAGTTTCCTTCTAATGCCTCATCTTTTATTAACATCCAGGAGATCACATTTAGCTTCCATAAATGTGTGTATCTTTTAACTGCTTCCCAATGTATTACAGCAATAGCATTTATACATTACAGCTCTCTCTAAGCGGTTTACAGAGTCAGCATTTTGCCCCCAACAATCTGGTTCCTCATTTTACTCACCTCTGAAGAATGGAAGGCTCAGTCAACCTTGAGCCTGGTGAGATTTGAACTGCTGAACTGCAGCTAGCAGTTGGCTGAAGTAGCCTGCAGTACTGCAATCTAACCACGGTACCACTTAGCTCGACAATGAACCAGTGGAATGGCTGCCTCTGGAAGTTGTGGGTGCCCCATC